TGCGATTCTGAGGCCTGGAAGCAATTCAACCTTTCTAATCCAACATTTGCTTCTGAAGTTCGAAATGTAAGGTTGGGTCTCTGCACAGATGGTTTTCAACCTTTCGGCCAATCGGGTTCTCAATACTCCTGTTGGCCAGTAATGGTCACTCCTTACAATCTCCCGCCCAATATGTGCATGAAAGAGGAACACATATTCTTGTGTGCGATAGTTCCGGGTAAGTCTAATCCCAAACAAAAGATTGATGTTTACTTACAACCATTAATTGCAGAATTGCAGATGTTGTGGTCCGAAGGCATTGAAACGTTTGATGTGTCGTTGAGTCAAAACTTTACGATGCGTGCTGCACTATTATGGACTATTGGAGACTTTCCGGCGTTGGGAATGATGTCTGGTTGGAGCACTGCTGGGAAAACAGCATGTCCGGTGTGTATGGACGAACTACAATCATTTCGACTTCCAAATGGTGGCAAACAATCTTGGTTTGATACACACCGTAGATTTTTACCAGATGACCATCCCTATAGGAGAGATAAGAAAAAATTCATGAAGAATAAGAATGAGACTCGTCCTCCTCCTACTTTAAAAACTGGTGCACAAATATTAGAGGAGATTGAGAGGCTCGGATTGAGAAGGATTGTGGAACCTAGGGCAGAAGAGACAAACAAAGATGTTTGTAAACACCATCTTTGTGGTTGGAGAAAGAAGAGCATATTTTGGGATCTTCCATACTGGAAGACAAATCTTGTACGACATAATCTTGATGTTATGCACATAGGAAAAAATGTATTCGAAAATATTTTTAATACTGTGATGGATGTCCAAGGTAAAACGAAAGACAATGCCAAAGCTAGGGAGGATACGAAGTTATTTTGCAACAGGAAAGAGTTGGAAAGAGATTGTGCATCGGGAAAATATCCTCAAGCAGCATACACTCTTGACAAAGCTTCACGAAAGGCTTTTTTAGATTGGGTAAAGGGGTTGCAATTTCCTGATGGATATGTCTCAAATTTGGGACGATGTGTCGATCCAACAAAACTAAGAATGTTTGGGATGAAAAGTCATGATTGCCATGTTTTCATGCAACGCCTAATTCCCATAGGATTCCAAAATTTATTGCCCAAGGGTGTATGTGAGGTTTTAACTGAGCTCAGCAACTTCTTTCGTTCTCTTACTGCTAAAAGTATTTCGGTCGATGACATGCAGACGCTAGAGAAAAACATAGTTGTCATACTATGTAAGCTAGAGACAATATTTCCCCTGCATTTTTTGACAGCATGGAACACTTGCCGGTTCACCTACCTTGGTAGGCTAGAGTTGCTGGTCCAGTTCAGTTTCGATGGATGTATCCTTTTGAGAGGTACGAACTGAACAAAATATTATGTGTCAAATAATATATGTTAAATGCATAATTAATCCACGTATTCGCTTATGTTATGCAGATACCTAAATCGTTTGAAGCGAATGGTAAAAAACAAAGCAAGGGTAGAAGGATCTATTGCTAATGCGTATATTGTGAGAGAAGCATCTCATTTTTGTTCGCATTACTTTGAAGATTATGTTTACACTCGACTACACAGTGTACCGCGTAATGATGAAGGAGATGTTCCTGCAGCCATCGAAAGCAACCTAAGCATTTTCCAAAGCGCAGGACGCTTAAGCGGTAAGACGAAAAAGCGAAGGCTTTCTGATGATGAGTTAAAGGCGCTGCATCATTACCTTATGCTAAATAGTGTCGAGATTGAACCATTCATTGAGTATGTCTCTAATTTTTTCTATTTCTAGTAAACCATTCCGCGAGTGTACACTTAAGGCATATGATGTTGTTCATTGCAGGAAATATGTCGATTCATTACGTGACTCAAATCCTGACATTACTGATGAGGCTTTACTGTTGCAAATGGAAGAAAGTTTTGCATCATGGTTTGAAAAACATGTATATATATCATAGCCTTAATTCAGTTAACAACTTAATTCAGTCCTTTACTTATAATAATGAGACACCTCAAGTTATTCA